TCTGCCCCTCCCACAATGGTTTCCCCCCAGTAGTTTGAGATTTTTCCCCCCAGTAGTTTGTGTCTCTGCCCCTCCCACAATGGTGAGATTTCCCCCCAGTAGTTTGTGTCTTTGCCCCCCCACAATGGTGAGGTTTCCCCGCAGTAGTTTGTGTCTTTGCCCCTCCCACAATGGTGAGATTTCCCCCCAGTAGTTTGTGTCTTTGCCCCTCCCACATGGTGAGGTTTCCCCGCAGTAGTTTGTGTCTCTGCCCCTCCCGCAATGATGAGATTTCCAGCAGTAGTTTGTGTCTCTGCCCCTCCCACAATGGAGAGATTCCCCCTATTGTGTGTCTCTACTCCTCCAGCAGTAGTTTGTGTCTCTGCCCCTCCCACAATGATGAGATTTCCCCCCCGTATTGTGTGTCTGTGCCCCTCCCACAATGGTGAGTTTTCCCCGCAGTAGTTTGTGTCTCTGCCCCTCCCACAATGGAGAGATTCCCTTTCCTCCCCCAATAGTTTGTGCCTCTGCCCCTTCTACACTTGACAGGAAGCCACAGAACTTTTCATGCTGGATTCCAAAAATTGTCACAATCATGTAGTGAACAAAATGATATTCATCATCATAACCTTCCAAACCCAGGAACCTCTCGTCTCCTCCTGTCTTCATAATAAAACTAACATATTTATAAGCCATAACTAAACTGGAACAAGCATGCAGCCAGTGATGTCATATTCCAAAGTAATTTGCAGTAATCCAAAGTATTGATGCCACAGGAATTGCATAGTGGCCAGGCAAGTAGCATTTTCTGAAGGGAAAGTCTGTAATGGCAGCTTCTATATAGACAGATTTCCTTCCAAACTTCAGGGGGACCAAGCTCACCCCTTTCATTATGGCTCCGTACTCCGCAGGTCCTCAGTAGAAGTTGAGGAATACTGAGCCCTGAGGAAGGAGGTGGCCGGTCCCTGAAAAGTGTTGGATTTCTTCTACAATCTTCACCTGATTATACATTGATGTCATTTGTATCTGGACTTTGACTCCTGATGTGGCCCTTCATTCTCAGATCTACCTATTCACTCTACAACCCATGGAGACTGTGAGAATCCTGGAGATTCCCGGGCTGCCAGCCCGAAGTCCAGACATCCTACAGAAACACCACTTCATTACCATAGGATAGTGATACTAATAGGATCATTCTAGGGTATCAGTGCTACTTATCCATTTCCCCAAAATTCAGGTTATCTGGCTGTCATGCTGAGCCTTGGGCTTCGAATGTTCTGTTGTGTCACATGACCCGGGAAAAGTGGGATGATAAGAAGCTCTGACTTCTATGTGCCCAACCTGATCTGCATTCTTGTTCTGTGTCAGTGTCTCGTAGTATTAAAGCCAGTGAGTCAGAAAACAGCCAGGAAACTTGCATTTTCAGATACAGGTCAGCAATGGTAGCCTGCATACTTTACGTTGAACCCCAAATGGATACAAAAAATAAAATAACACTTGGATGAACTCATGTATTCCTTATCAACGTCTTATAATGCAGTGTGTGTGTATCCTGGACTCTACCCTGATATCCGGCTCCTGTACAGCCGCACCCCGACTGGGACAGGGTTCATCATTCTGCACCGACAAGCTGAAAGGAGGAGAGATGAGCCCATCAGTCTGCTCTGCTGCATTGTCCAATCACAGGCTGGGGGTGGGGAGGTGACCTAGCTGTGTTTCTTTCCTTGCAGTAGAGAAAATTCAGGTCACCTGGTAAATCTTAGGACTGGCTGAACAGGAACAGACATCCTTGTGGCAGGAAGGACAGCTCTCATAGAAGTATTTCAGTTTACTTGGGGACTAGCTTTGGCTCATATCTATAGTGAGACGGAAGATGCTGACATTTGAAGGAGGATGGGGGTACCTGGGGTGCTGGAGGAAATGAACGCTGTCTTATATTAGAGCAGCCTTTCTCAACCAGGGTGCCTTGAGGTTTCTTCAGGGGTGCCTTGGCAAAATGTCTAAAAATTGCCCAAAACTTGTATACAAGCCAGCGGGTGGAACAAGCCTGCCTTTTAGTTACACAAAGTCACAGGTTTTCATTGTGCCTTATTCCGAACTTCTAGCCACCGGCGACCTGACAACCAATGACATCATCAGTTGATGAGGAGGATGTCAGCTGCCTGCACAGCATCCTAGTTTGACCCTCCCCTGCCTCTGCCCATCAGTGTTGGGGTCACAATTAGCTCAGTAATGGATAAAAAAACTGAGGGAGAAGAGAAAACATGGGAATACTAGTCAGTACCAGTGTGCAGAAGTGTATTTGCTTTGGAAGAATAAATCACCTCTAATGTTGGGTGTCCTACATGTGTGGATGTTGCTGCGTTACATAAAACTATTAGAATCGTTTTTCACATATTAGAATAGGGTGCCCTTTTAAAATTATGGACAGTCTTAAGGCACCCCATTTTGGAATGAGGTGCCTCAAGACTGTACATAATTTTAAAAGGGTGCCTCGGAACTGTCTATAATTTTAAAGGGTGTCTTGACTGAATCAAGGTTGAGAAACTCTGTATTAGAGGGTCAGGATTTCATTTCAGGGGGATCACCTTTTTGCATCCCAGCGTACAATCCAAACGCACACGTTCCTGCGTTAAAAATGGCTGTGTGTATAAGTGGGTGCTGCAGCAACCATCGAATGGAACCGAACAGATTCAGCAAGGGAGAATGTCATCAGCACACCGAGAATCACCAATATGGGTCCAAAGGTTTTAGTGAACGATCGCATAGTTACAGCAAGGAAACGTTTTGGAGTCTCGCAGAACCCCTTCATCAGGCATGACACACGCCTGATGAAGGGGTCCTGCGAGACTCCAAAACGTTGCCTTGCTGTAACTATGTGATCTTTCATTAAAACATTTGGACCCATATTGGTGATCCTCGTGTGCTGGTGACTTTCTCCCTTTTTGCATCCGTCACAACCATCATCCGCCACAGTAGAGAGCATGCTGGAGGCAGGGGATGGAGGAGAAATCCGGGGCCACAAGGCTGCAGGGGCCACCAAGGATGTAACATCATAGATCAAAGTATACAGGAAGATGCCAAGAATTGAAAATTGATCAGAAACTTTATTCATTCAAAAGATACATAAAAAATAATGCATGCTTCTAGTGCAATACAGAGTGTCAATATAGACAATGGGGGTATAGAGTGATCTCCTTCAGTGACCCATATCAGTCGTTAGTCAACTTCCTGAGGAATGGACCTTAAAAAAAAAGTTCTAAAATAATAACATAATAAAAAGGATAAGTACACTTCAGAACAAAGTGCATTTATCAGTTTTTGTACCCTTCCTGACCTAGCCCTTCCACCCCCCTCCACAGATACACACCACAATCTGGCAGCTGTGATTCCACTGTTTGTTTACATCCAGCGGTGCAAGTCTACACTGTCCTGGCCGTGCCTGTGTACTACAGCCCCATAAACTACAAAGGTCCCATTCAGATACCGCATTGTGGGAATGGGTGTTTTCCAGCTTGTGAACTCAAATGTGAGATTTATGTTTCCATGCGTCATGCATATTGCGGCACATTCATTTTAATGAGCTGCCCTATGCACATTTGTTGTCCAAAAGAAGATTTCTGCTCCTTTTTTGGGCGCCAAGCTTAGCACGGTTTTTAAATGAGTGTTTTTCCTATTGACAATCGTGGCAGAGTCGCATGTTTTGCCACAATTTGGAATCATGCGGAATTGCAATAATTCTGCTCGTGGTTTCAAAATGGCCTAATGTGAACAGGGCCCAAGGAAGCATCTTCAGCCTCAGTCCCCAGGAAGACTAATGTACCGGCTTGGCCAGAAAAGTGCAAATGTGCACTGCTGAATTTAAAACAAATAGCAGAGTGTAAACAGCTGAGTGTAAACAAACAGTATGTAAACAGCTGAGTGTAAACAGACAGTATGTAAACAGACATCTGAGTGTAAACAGAAAGTATACAAACAGCTGAGTGTAAGTAGCTGAGTTTAAACAAAAAGTATGTAAACAGCTGAGTGTAAACGGACAGTAGGTTAAGGAACTTAGATTGTACGCCCCTTGAGGGTTAGAGACTGATGTGAATGTACAATATATATGCAAAGTGCTGCATAAATTGATGGTGCTATATAAGTACCTGAAATAAATAATAAAAGGAATCACTTAAACGCCAGACTTCATGAAACACAGAGAAATGCTTCACATATTAAGAGGACCTCAGCATTGGACATGGGATTTCTTCACTTAGAGAAGATGTGTGGAGGTCCACTGTACAACCCAACAGCTGTAGGAGTCCATCCAGGGGGGGTGGGGTTTTTTTTGTTTGATTTTTTTTGTTGGGGGGGGGGGGGAAACTATGGCAATTCTTTTCAATGTCAGATTTCCTTTCCCAAGGAGAAGATAAATTCCGATATAATTGGAATGTCAGTTTTGCTCAATAAAACACCGAGCTCATCTCTCATTCACTTTTTTCAAACTGTGAATATTTTCAACCAGTAGGGGAAAATACCTATTGATCCTTCCAGAAATGCAGAGTCATTTCCTGCTGGCATGATTGACAGTATAAAATGAATCTTCCCTCCACGCTATCTGATGTAAACCAATAATCCCTTCCCCATGTAATGGAGATGAATAGAGGACGATTGGTTTGTAGTCCAAATCAGGATACGAGCCTAGGGTGACAACACTGCTCCTCCTAGGATACGGTAGGGGAGGGAGTGTTGTCACCTTAAGACAGTGTGGTAGTCACAGGATTACTAGTTCAAATAAAAAAAAAAAAAAAAAAAAGAGAAAGAATGCCACAGCTAAGGCCTGGTTGACACCAGTGTGTTTTTAGTGCTTTTTGCAGAAGAGCACTACAGTCCACTTAACATGCTTTCCTATGAGACATGTTTACATTTATGCGCTTTTCAACTGCTGCATTTTTGGAAAGGGTCAGAGACTTTTTTTTTTTTTCAAATGCAAAACTCTGTTTTTGGTTTAACAGACCTCAACAGGGGTGGACTGACAACTCATGGGGCCCCCGGGCAATAGGGGATCATGGGGCCCCTGTGTCCTTGTCCAAACTCAAAAAAGCCTATGAAAAAAAGGTACCAGGGGCATCTCATGGGGCCCCCTACTGACCCCGGGCCCTCAGGCAGTGCCTGAGTTTCCAAATGGTCAGTCTGCCCCTAGACCTCAACAGAGATGCTGCAGAAACCGTATGTAGTGCATTTTTGAAGCATTTGGCACGTGGGTTTAAAAATTTACCCAATAACAAATTTGCCGAAAACAAAACCACACATCAAAAACATGGATGCAAAAAATGCATAAAAACCAAACTACTTAGGTGTGAACCAGGCCTAAAGACAGAAGACCTCCACATCTGTTACATTTTTGTTTTGGGTTTTAAAAACTTTAAGACACAATGTAATTCTTTTGCTGATCTTTCTAAAAACATTCCCCTTTTAATTCAAAACCTTCTAAATTTTTGGAAGCTTTTCTAGCTTTCATGCTATATTTTATATATATTTATAGGCAGTCAGTGAGCCTCTTACAATATGGTTGGATACAATTCACATTTATCATTAGCTCCTTGGAAAACCGTTAATTCTAGGAGCTGAGACAATAGACAGCTCTGCTGCAGTGAAGAGGGACCAGCAATGAGCAATCAGTTTAAAAATTTCAGTTATTGTCTTCCTTCATCTTCAGTTTCTTCACAGATCCTGAAAGCAATGCACCATATCATGGAGTGGTAATATTTCCTATAGCACTCTTCCATAAGTCCCCCCCCGTGACCAATCAGATAGCTGAAAAGACACTAGCAGCCATTGAGCATGCATTGCACTTGCTGAAGACAAAACTGAAGGGGAAATGCCCCTAGAACAAGCAGGAACTGAAGACAGTTGCAGTAGAGGCCTGGCAGAGCATCACCAGGGATGAAACCCAGCGTCTGGTGATGTCTATGCGTTCCAGACTTCAGGCTGTAATTGACTGCAAAGGATTTGCAACCAAGTATTAAAAAGTGAAAGTTTGATTTATGATTATTATTCTGTCCCATTACTTTTGGTCCCTTAACAAGTGGAAGGCACATATGTAAACTGTTGTAATTCCTACACCGTTCACCTGATTTGAATGTAAATACCCTCAAATTAAAGCTGACAGTCTGCAGTTAAAGCACACCTTGTTTGTTTCATTTCAAATATATTGTGGTGATGTACAGAGCCAAAAAATGTTAGAATTGTATCGATGTCCCAATATTTTTGGACCTGACTGTATATTTATAGGCAGTCAGTGAGCCTCTTACAATATGGTTGGATACAATTCACATTTATCATTAGCTCCTTGTAAAACCGTTATCCCTAGGAGTCGGCTGAGACAATAGACAGCTCTGCTGCAGTGAAGAGGGACCAGCAATCAGTTTAACAAACTCAGTTATTGTCTTCCTTCATCTTCAGTTCCTTCACAGATCCAGAAAGCAATGCACCATATCATGGAGTGGTAATATTTCCTATATCAATCTTCCATAAGTCCCCTGTAAAAAATCAGGTAGTTGAAAAGACACTAGCAGCCACTATATCAGTTTGATCAAGATGAAGCTCTGATTGGCCAGCCAGTGCATGAAGCTTGTGATAGGTGCAACAAGTTTATAAATAAATGTTGGCCCCGCACTATGGCGTGACATCCTGATCAGATCTTTCTGGGCTTTGGTGATTCAAATTAACCATGAGTAGATCCACAGTTACTGAAATGACAGAAGAAGTTACATGAGATCAGCCAAACACCATCTCCAGATCAGGTAAGATACATATGTCATGTGCAGTTGTGAGGGCCTGGTCTGTGCACTGTTAGGCACGGTACCACTTTTTTATTTTATTCTATTTATTTAAACCACTCCCACGTTTTGTCACTTTTTGCTTTCTTATGTGTGTGTTTTTTTTCACGGATGGAGGGTGTGGGTCCTCGGGCCTTACCTGAAGTCTAGGGGGAGGATGTGTGGCCATACGGTTCCTTCCTCCCCTGATCCCTAGGGGGTTTTCTCTTCGGGAGAACCCCCTTGCCTAGTACTGGATGTCCGGCTTCGGCTGGGCATAAGGAACGGTGGTCCACCAGGCCTTTTGGCCAGGAGGACCAAATGGGAACCTTGTCCCTGTCAGGAGCTTCGTGCCCCGGGGGATCGGGTGAACGGTCCAACCCTTTCGGGGGTAGGACAAACACACCCCTAAGTGCACGTTTTTCGTGTGTGTGTTTCTGCACTTGCACTTTTTTGCGGACACTTACGGGTTTTTACGTTATAGTTGCACGTTTGCGGACTTAAAAAAAAAGAAAAAAGTTGTGTTTTGTTACAGATTGATTTGTTAAGGTACTAATTTTGTTGCATTCATAACAAATTTGTTACATTTAGATTTATTCATTTTTGACTGGATTGAAAATTTTTCCAATGGATTCAGAGTATTTGAATTGAAAATATCAAATTGATCCAAAGTCATTTTTAAGAATAGCTGGTTCTATTTCAAATTTTGGAAGACAGGTATATTCTATTCAAAATTTTAATTTTGGAGTAAATCTATATTCCATTTTTAAAATTTGATTTTATATAGTAGGATAGGATAGAAAATAAATAGTAAAATAGAATATAGCTCTACTCCAAAAATGAAAAAAACAAAAAACACAGAATAAAATAGAATATAGCCATCCTTCGAAATTTGAATTTCAAAAAGAATGGAATAGAAAATAAAAACAGCTATATTCCAGTTTTTTCGAATGTCGGAAGAAAGCTATGTTCTGTTCCTTTATTTTCTATTCTATTATTTTGGAAATTCAAATTTTGGAAGATGGCTATATTCTAACACCAACAGACACAGGCTGGGAAGGAAATCAGCAATATGTTTACAGTTTGAATTTGTTTTGAATTAGATTCGAATAATTCATTTTAGGCAAAATTTTGTTTTTTATTTTGAATTTGTTCAAATTCATTACTAGTGCAATGTGGAAATTCAGATACATCTGAATCTCTTAAGAATTAAAGTTTTCTTCAAATTTCAATTTGGACTGAAATGAACTACACATGCTAACCCCCTATTAGTTTTATAAGGTTTCTGTGCAGAATGTATCTATAGTGAAGGATTTTCAACAAGCATGGGAGGGTCCACAATCATGCCTCTACTGGTTTATGAGCCATATAGAGAGTGATACCTTGGTACTCCAGGCAGAAGGCTAGGAATGGAGTGTTGAACCTGGTTTGACAAAATATTGTTTGATTAGCGAAGGTGTGGGAGTCAAGAGACCAGACTGACTAGCCAACTGATGTCAGGGCTCTGAAGGCCACTTGAGTTCCTCAACCCCAAACTAGTCAAAACATGTCTTTATGGAACTGGCTTTGTACACAGGGGGCAGTCAAACTAAAACAGAAAAAGGGTTGGAACAGCACAATTATCTAAAATCTTTGTATAGTCAAATATTAACATAGCCCAACCTTTCAGTGAAAGCACCTGAACGCCTTCATTTGGAGAGAGGTCCACATAGGTTTTACCATATAGTGTTTTTATAATGGCTAAAATACATGGTGCCGTAAGGGTGAAACCCAGACAGTTGCTAGAAGCTCCTACCATCATAGAATTCAAGCCACATAAGCTAGTTCTTTATTTGCCTGAATCTCCCAATTGGCCCAGAATAGACATGGGCGGTTCAGATTGAAAATATGGACACATTTTTCATTATTCAGAAGCATCTAAATTTGTTACGATTGAAATTTTGTTCAGATTCTTTTGAATTTCTAAATTACATCTGAAAACGCTGTCCGAAAACTAGAATAGATTAGAAAAAAAAAAAAAAAAAAGTGTAATAGAAAAGAATAGAATAAAAACAGAATATAAGAGCATAGAATAAAATAGCATACAATAGAAAAGAAAAAATAAAAACAAAAAAAATGTCCGAAATTCTAATAGTTTGGAAACAAGAATAAAAATTAAAAAAAAAAAAATGGAAAAAGAATAGGATAAATTAGAAAAGCATATTTTAAAGCATAAAAATGCATACTCACAAACCCAAAGAGAGTTAGTCTCCAAAAAGTCTACCTCACTAAGGGTCTATCATCACTTTGGACTGTCATTAGGGCCTCGTTTGTTTTTGTCCCCCTTTGGTTTGTGAGTATGCATTTTATGCTTTAATAAATTCTTGGTTTACTAAGTTAATGCACGAAGAGAGTGTGCCCTGTTTTGCTTTTGTCCACCAGTATCAAGATTTCACGATTTTTAAAGGGCTGCACCTCTGCGAATGACAGTTTCAGTTATCTTAGTCTGCATGAAGATTTGAGTGCTGGTTCAGTTTGTTCATTTAGAAACAATATAACAGTCTTCCGAAATTCTAATTTTGAGTAGGAGAAATTAGAATAGAAAATTAAAGAAAATAGAAAAAAAAAAAAAAAAAAAAAAAAAAAAAAAAAAAAAAAACACAAACACACCATAACAGTCTTCCAAAATTTGGATGCTGATTCAATATTTTTTGATTTGGTCTAATTCAATCAATTCGACCGAATTTGGTAAAATTCAAATTGAATTTGAAAATGCATAAAAAAGGAAAACGAAATTCCGAAAACGAATTTAACTAAAATTAAATTATTTAAATAATGTATTGAAATGAACCAAGTTTTTTCATTCTACAGGTCTAGTCCAGAACCCAGTCACTCTGCTCTAAGATTAAAGAAATAATTTGAAATTTGGTTTGTTTTTTTGTTTGGTTTTGTCCCCACTGATTCTAGCAGTCACCATTTATGTAATCTGAGTGAATTGTTCCAAGTCTAGTTACCCCCAGCAGATGGGCGATCCTTGGGATTCCTCTTTAAGAGCAGTCTGATGAGGTCACGGAAGCTATCAGGACATGAAGAGGGAAGGTCATTATCCAGTGATGCCCACCACTTTTCTTGCATCTCCCCCAGATTGTCTGCAGTCACCTCCAGCTCTGAAGAGAACATAAAATAAATGTTAGCAAGGAGGCCCTTGTCTTGTCATACAAGATGCGTGTGGGAGATATAGGAACATGGTTTTCTATCCATTCACAGGACAGAGCTTACACACAGATTCTTTCTACAGCCAGTCAAACAAGGAGTTTATTTTGGGATTGAAGAAGAACACGAAACATCCAGGAGGAAAAAATAAATAAATAATCACATGGGGATAGGAGGAGATCACACTCTGCCCACACGCAGTACTGTGCGTCATGTGAAGGTTGACCCAAACTGATGAATCAAAAAGTAGAAATAGCTATGTGAAGGGAGTATAAAAGGTAAACTAGACTCCCAGCACCAGAAAACCAATGCAAGCCTATGGTCATGCATTGCACACATGCTCATATTTTTCTAAGGGAAGAGGCAATGTTAGACATACTATTCCAGTTTGTCATGCTCACGCACGTACGCATACCAATTAGTGTATGCACTTGGCACCTAGTGGTCTATTTAAACTAGTTTGTTCCTGAATGGTCTCCAGCTTGTTCCCATGTTCCTGAGACCCGATTCGCTGTACCTGCT